CTTATCTAGATTTTTTTTTCTCCAGTGTAGTAACTGTGAGCACACTGCAAAAAACATCTAGAAATAAGTGAAAAATGTCTTAAATTAAGTGTATTTACCCTTAATTTGAGCAGGTAAATAAGATGACCTGCCAATGGAATTAGTATTTTTACTCCTAAAATAAGATAATTAGCTAATATATGCTTGAATTAAGACAAAACTATAGTTTTTTTCTTATTTTAAATGTAAATTGTCTCGTTCCATTGGCAAAGTGTCAAACTTACCTCCTCAATTCAAGAAAAAATGCACTAAATTTGATCAAAAATGACTTATTTAGATTTCCATTTTTTGCAGTGTATTTCTAGATTGTTTTTGCAGTGTGGTCTGAACCCAGTTTATAGTGGTTGGTGCACTGGAAAAACAATCTAGAAATAAGTAAACAATTTTTAAATTAAGTGTATTTACCCATTATTCAAGCAGGTAAATGAGATAGTTTGCCAATGGAATGAGTATTTTTACCATAAAATAAGATAGTCAGACGTTATGCAATTGAAATAAGACAATGCAATTGATTTTTCTTATTTTAAATGTAAATTGTCTTGTTCCATTGGCAAAGTGTCTCAATTTCCTCTTCAATTCAATAAAAAAATGCACCAATTTTAAGAAGAAATTAGTTATTTGGGTTTTTTAGTTTTTGAAGTGAGACAACTTTGCACTCAAAGAAATAGAAATCTAAATGAGTCGTTTTTTCTTAATTTATGGAGGTAAGGGAGACAGATGATATGCACTTATATTTATTAGTATTTTTACTCTTAAAATAAGATAATTACATAAAATGCACTTGAAATTAGACAATAAAATAGTGTTTTCTTATTTTAAGTGTAAATTGTCTTGTTCTATTGGCAAAATGTCACTTTTACCTCTTCAATCCAAGAACAAATACACTTATTTTAAGACAAAAATGACTTATCTAGATTTAGATTTTTTCCAGTGTGGTTCTGTCTGGACAGAACGGAGGGTCAGATGGTTCTGAGAGTTGGGGGGTAACTTCTGTTACATCTGCATGTCCCCAGAACTGCTCGGCCTCCCGGCAGTGATGTGTGTCCCACAGCTAACTGCCCCCATAAATAATTTCTCCTTTTCTTTTTCGCTTCATTGAATTTTCTTCCTGGCCTCCATTCTGTGGCTCTTTATGAGCGTGTTGCCGCCTGCTGTGAACGGGAACTCAAAACGTCTCCTTTGTTTATGACTCCAGTGAAGGTTTGCTCCGATGGGTCACAATAAATTAATCTTACCAGAAATCAAATCCGGCCCCTTCGAACAAACTGAAAGAAAAAAAGATCAGGCATAAATCCATCATGTATATCAGAGTAATATCTGTGAAAATACGGATATTCCTAGTAGGAAAAGAGCAAATGTTGGAGTTTCTAGAAATCAAACGAAGCATTTTGATCGCTTTAGTGTTACTGTTCATCTGAGCGGAACTATGACCTCAATGCACACTCGTTCTCCCTGTAAATGTCCGATGCTTTTACCTGACAGATGATTAACAAAGCTATTAAAATGCCTGCTTTACAAGTCGGCTCATTATTGTTTATTGTGGCAGCAGTGGTTTGGGCTGGACTTTAGCCGGGTGGAGGCTGTGAATTAAACCTATATGTAGATAAGATCCGGTCGGTTCCTAGAGTTCGGTTCTGTGATGTCGGCACACTTCTTCTGTTCAGAAAACAGTTTTCACACCGAGTTCCATGGATCATTCAGAAACGACAGCGTACGGTTTGAATTTGTGAAAAATCGCACATCGGTGGAGTCCAGTGTATCAACGCCGGCGCAATTCATGAGCGAAACTTCACGCAATAAGTCTTTCTCAATGCTAAAATACATAACCAGCTCAAAACGTCACCTGTTGACTGCAGCGTTTGATCAGCTCTAATCAAAGTGCCTTTCCCGTTTTCTCTTTTTAGCCTCAGAAGGTTTAAACTTTTTCCTTTCCATGACCAGCAGTCGAGCAGGTGGAAAAATAGCAGAGCTAAAGCCTTAGCTCCATGACGATATGACAGCCTGTGGCCGTAAAACCATACGTTCTTCCTGGTCACATGACCTGGCCAATCACGGTCTGTCATCTCCCAACTTACATAGTTGGTTTTACAAGAGGGGAGCCCCACCTGATTCCTTTGTTAGTCTTAAGCCACATTTACACTACCTTCTGGAACCGTGCCGAGATCGGTCCGAGCAGTGTGGTACGCACAACTGAACCAGACTGCTCCAAACACAACGCGCTAAACTGCTAGCCTGGTGAGACCATCCTGATCTCGCGAGCTTTCAAGGTTTCACTCGCAGATCAGTCTGGAGACTCTCCGTTAAAGAAAATTTGGAGCCGTTCACCAAACGAACGTCCAATCAGCGTTGGCTTGGAGGCGGGTTGAGGTGTGACGCAACAAGAAGCGCGACAGTTCAGTCTAAAGAACATGGCGGCTTCAGCCGATGAAACTAGCGTTAGCGTGGCTATCGAGCAAGTTTTATCGGAATTACAGAGTATTTCTTCACTGAAAGAAGAGCAAAACACTGCTCTGGAGGCTTTTCTCAGAGGAAAAGATGTTTTTGCTCTTCTCCCGACTGGTTTCGGCAACAGTAGCCTGGCTTGTGGTTGTGTTTTCGTCGTCGCTCTGTTAGTACGTCATATGCTTCGTTGATCTGATTGGTTTATTTAGCCCGTCTATCACCAACATAGGCCAATCAGCTAACCAGTATTTTCGCCCCTTCCCAAAATTACTTCAACGGAAGGTTTCCAGATGGATATGCGGAGAAAATCCATCTGGCGGAGTCAGGTTACTAAACTTGTACTAGTTCATCAGTAGGACTCGGCGCGGTTCGGTTCTGGCTCGGTTCTCAGATAACAAAGAGCGCATGAGCAGACCACGTCATCTCCTTACAGTCAGCCTCCATAATCATGAAATTTCCGATATTCATAGAAATCCTAGCTTCCCTACTGCGCCGCACGATTTCCAGCATCTGTAAGCCCTGATTACACTATCGCTTGTCGTATCCACTTCCCAAAAGCCGACTCTGTCAATTAAATTCACCAAAGGCTGCCTTCTTCGCCTGACTCTCCGCAAACACCGAAATATCTCCATGATAACAAAACATAACTTCCTGAATGTTACGGGCACCGCTATGTTGGTTTGGTTGCTTCCCTCTAGAGAGCAGTACCGTAGATGGCCACTAGGAGGCAAGGCACCGTGCTAGCGTGATGTGTAAATGGTCGTAAGGAACTGATCTCAGCACGGTTTGGTTTTCAGAGGGTCGTGTAAATAGTGCTATAGCGCCAAACCCTCTATATCGGCCTGAGGAATCATTTAAAATACCTCTCCTTAGGTCACAAAGTCCATGCTGCGTCTCTGAGGAATCTTTGGCTATCCGATTTTTAATTGATTAATTGGAAAACTAATCAACAGATGAATTTGCAAAATAATCGTTATTAGCAGATTTAATTATGACCCTTTTTGCTTTCTGTATCTCCTCTCGTTCCCCACCACGGCTGTGGATCCTTAAAAAACATTTTTATTTCACTGATTTACAAACAGTCTCTTAAGTTCAGCTCCAGTCCTGCATTGTTTTGGGTTTCATTTATATGGCCTCATATTCTGCTGTGCTCCAATGCTCTGAAATGACTGTACCAATTCAATTGGAAAAATGTGTTTAACACTTTTTTCTGTTTTTTTTTTACAAGATTTCCTCCTCCTAAACCATTGGTGTAACGTCTGCACACCCGTTTACAGCTCCAATTTCGCA